CATTTGTAATCATCAAAATTAAACGAAATAAACATTTGAAATATATGAGTTTGTATGTAATGTATGAATATAATATACAAGTTTCACTTTTTAAATGGAATTACCGAAATAAATCTACTTTTTCATGATATTCTAATTTTATGACCAGCACCTGTACTTTTGAATTTCAGAATAAGATTTCAGTTGTAGGGGTTAAAGCACAGAACTCATCTCTTTCTTCCCTTTTTTCTTTTGAAAATCGAAGCTGACACCTTCCCTCTTCTAACTTCACATCTACATGAGAGGCGGTTCACGAGACACAAATTTATTCTGTCAGGCGACAATTCAGCCTTCATCTTCCTCTCAAACTCTGACTTTTTGTCATCAGGCTTAATGTCGGTGTCAAGGGCTGCCCTTAACATTCTGTGAATAAATCAAGACAGAAAGATGAAAAGTAGAAGCCAGGTCATAATGAGATGCAGATCTGCAAAGAGACTGAGCTGAAGTTTGCAGAGTAAAGGACAAGAAATGCAACGAAGTCATCCTTCAATTGATTCAGCTGACAGTTTGTTAGTAAAATAAATCAAAATGAAAAACCAGAAAATGCTGCAGATACACAAACCCCTCCTATCAGGATTACTAAACCCAGGCTAATTTCTGTTGCTTATCACATTTAAATATCACAAATCTGATTTTATAATAACTGCATGGCTGTATGAGACTGTTACAGATGATTTGTTTCAGATTTAATTAAATTATTTCAATTTGCAACTGATTGTGTTTCCAGTTTCCTTTAGTTTGAGCAAAAATTGTGAAAATTTTCAGTCTAAAAATCCGGTGAGGGTTAATCACCTCCATGACGGAGCCAATCTTTGGCCTTATTTACTTCAGTGTGCAGCTTCATTTTTCTCTCAGATGTCATGTTGGCTGACCGTGTTGGCTGCGGATCGGCCTCGCTGACTTGCATCTGTCACACCCCCCACAGCCAGGGCAGCCCCAAGTTCTCATAAAATCTACACCAATCTGTGTCATCGATTTGTTCCCATCTAGAAATGAGCCCCGTGTCACACATATTGTTTCTAGATTGAAAAGGAGTTGGTCAACATCTGCCGTAAATCACAAAGTCCTATTAACCGGAGTGATCCCGTCTCCCTGTCTCTTTGTCCCGAGCCAAAAACCATTCCCTTTTTCCTTTCTTTTTTGCAGCTTTAGCAGGACAGAACCTCCATCACTGTCTTCACCATATAATGGCAGATTTGTGAAAACAGTGTTAGGTATAACATTAAAACATTTTCAAGTGGTTGGGCTTCTTCACCCCCTTGTTCTGACATGCTCCGTGAGGTCAGGATGAGAAAATGGAGGTCGCGAACAAACACAAACATATTGTGTTCCAGGACACTAAATGATCCTGGAGAGAAGGGTCAAAAGCACCTGAGGTCGTGTTTGACTTCTTGATGTTTTCTCTTTAATTGAGTTAAAGGGGCAGTTCACTTAAATAAAACGGATTCTCTTCCGACGGCTTTTTCCACACACAAGAGATGCTCTGGATGAAAAGCATGCAGGAAGAGAAATGTCTGCCACATTTTCCAGGCATTTTTTGATTAATACATGTGGATATGTGATAGAGGCTGATAAGAATTATAGCTTCATAGTTTTCTCTGATTTGTAGGTTGCTTTCCACCTTTGTATTGTTACACGTGGATATATGAACACCGAAACACTCATTAGGATTATTAATGAACATTATTTTTTTATTTTCATGTGAAGTTAACAAAGCACTAGTTCTAGTTCTCTCAAGCCATTTGTTTTGTTTTTTTATTGTCTGAGTGCACCTGCAGCTCAGATTTTCGCAATCTAAAGTGCAGTAACAGCAGAAAATACAGTATTAGGAAGTTTGATCTAAACCCCTGATATACTTGTGAGAAAGTAGTGGTACAGCACGTACATGCTCAATTTTGACCAATTAAATAATCAAATCACCAAATTTGCTAACAAACAATAACTGAGCTCTATGTAGTCTTTCGTGTATAGAAACAGGGTTTTAACATGTCTTCTACGAACATTGAAAAGTGCTACGTGTACGACTGACTAAAAGTGAAATAAACAATACAGAAATATAAAAATAAGGGAGTTTTACTCACTGTTGAGTTGTGATAAGTAAGTTTCCCACTTTCTGACGTGGAATTCCCACTGGAGAGGCATTTCAGTTTAATTTTACGACTTGTAAGTGGGGAATTCCCACTTATAAGTACAAATGGGTCACAGCAAAAGTAGCTGACAAAAAAGCAGCTAAATGCAGATTTTATTTGATGAATTCCAGTGGTTGTCATCAATTTTTGAATCCTGAGGTGGTACTGGTGAGATGCCGTCATTTTGGGGGTAGAATAATCGACATGCATTGTGGGAGATGTAGTTTATGTCATGGTTTGCCATTTTATGCCTTGGTTCTTCCTAGTGTTTCTATGTTTCCCTGTGTGTCTCTGCTTAGCTGCCCCACATCACACTGCTGATTACCCTTGTGTTTCTCCCCAGGTGTTTTCTGTTCCCTCATTAGTTTTCTGTGTATTTGAGCTCAGTCTTGTCTCTGTCTCATTGTCGGATCATTGTTCTGTCTACCTGGTCGTGTCCTGCTTCATGTTCTTCGTCTACCTCCAAGTCAAGTTTTTGCTGTATTATCAGCCTCTTTGAGTTTTCATTAAAGGCCTTGTGCTTTTTGATTTTTGAAACCTGCCTGTGCCCTGGGTTATTTTGTCAGTCCTGACAGTTTATGGTGAACACTGGCTTTAAAAAAGCTTGTGTTTAAACATTAATACGGAGGTATTTGACAAAATTGCTTACAGGGGCCACAGCTACGCAAAACCAACATCTAAGGAGCCAGACACGTATTATCTTTCACCCTTTATAATTCTTTATTTTGTTGCATTAAATCTTAAATTTAAAGTTTACAATTGATTTAAAATCTATTTTCATATTTATTTTAAGTAGAATAGAATGGCCTTTGTTGTCCTGCAGTGGGGAAATTCAGGTGTCACAGCAGCATCAGTACAGAGGTTCACAC